ATTGTTCGGATGTTCAATAAATGTCTGCTGAATATACATTTTATCTTTTCAATTAGATTAAAAATTATTCAAAGAGCTACTTTATGCATTTTGTGAACTCTCACAATACCTTGCATAGAACTGGGCACCCAAGAGGCATGTACTAAGTTTTCTGTTGATGGATAGATTGGTTTTTATTTTTAAAAGTTATTTTAACAACAAAGTTTTTTTCAAAAATAAATTTTAACTTTGAAACATAATTGATGCACTGCATTAGGAATGTAAAATGGTAAAAACACTGCAAAAAAAGTTTGGTAGTTCCTCAAACAGTTACACAGAACTACTATATAACCCAACAATTCCACTCCTAGGTATATCCCCCAAAGAACTAAAAACAGGGACCAAACATCTGTACACAAATGTTCACAACAGTGTTAGTCACAATAGTCAAAAGGCAGAAATAACCCAAGTATCTGTCAATAGATGAATGGAAAAAAAACTATGGTCTAGGCCACACAACATTACTTAACCAATTAAAAGAAATAAGGTTCAGATACTCTTCATCTACAGCACAGATGAGTGAAAGAAGCCAGACACAAAAGGACAAACATATAATTCCACTTATATACTTAATGCTACTGAACATTTAAAATGGTTAATATGGCCAATGTTATGCTATATATATTTTAATATACACAAAACCAGGAGCGAGCATAGAATTGCATCTTACACTATACATGAAATGATATAATATCACTTGAAGGCAAACTGTAATAGTTACAGATGCTATAAACTCTAAAGCAATCCCATTAGTAACAAAAAGTTTTGTGTTTTTTTTAATAACAAACAGTTAAGGCTAATAAACAATGGAGATAAAATGGAATCACAGAAAATACTAAATAATCCAAAGAAGACAGAGGAGGGTGGACTTCTCTGGTGGTCCAGCAGTTAAAACTCCATGCATCCAGGCTGATTCATGTTAATGTACGGCAAAAACCACAACAATATTGTAACTAGCCTCCAACTAATAAAAATAAATGGAAATAAATAAATAAAAGCCTTAAAAAAAAAAAGACTCCATGCATCCAGTGCAGGGGATGTGGGTTTAATTCCTGGTCCCACATGCCATGTCGTCACAAGCAAAAAAAGAAAGAAAACAAAGACAGAGAAAGGGATATAAACAGTTACTATATAAAATAACCTCAATCTAAAGTTTGTGGAAAACTTGAGAAGTCTTAACATTAACCTAATATTAATGTGAACAAAAAGTCTCTTTTCCTAAGTGGAAAATCTCAGTTAAACTGGGCTGGAATAGGTGTGGACTGTGTTGTTTGGAAATAATTTTCCAGTACTCACACAGCTTTTAAGCAGTAGAATCATGATGAGAATCAAGACCTGTCTGATTCAAACCTACTCTCTGTCTCTGAACGGCTTATTTTGAAACCTTTCGAATATTCAGAGAAGTTGAAAGAATGATACATGGAACACTGGTTATTCATAACTCACCCATTTAACAATTTACCAATTGTTAATGTTTTGCTATATCTGTACTACTTTTGCACTCTTTACACATACCAGTTGGTTTGTTTGGTGATTTTTTTCTCTCAACTATTTGAAAGTTGCAGACACATTTCAGCCTTAAACACTGAATAGAACCAATGTTTTTAACCACCATCCCATGCTGCCTCTTCTTCAAAAGGAGTATTCATTAACAACATGACATCAAATCATTTGAATACACTCTTCAAAAATCTGCAGTAACTCTCTACCTCCTTGAATATAGTCAAATAACTTTAGTCTTCTGTGAATAAGCCTGCAGCTCCCTTTCTCTTGCTTCTTTTCATGCACCAGTGTTCCAATCACCAGTCCATGAAAATACTAAGCAGTCTTTGTCCTTTGGGGCCCTTGCTCATGTCATTCCTTAGTCTGGGATGCCTTTCCCTTCTCTCTCCATCTGTCTTGGTCCTTTTTCTAATCTTTTAAGTCCCACCTCAAATGCCATAGAAGAAGGGGGCTGAAATTTCACAGGCTATGTTTCTCCAACAAATGACATGACATTTAGCACTCAAGTTGCTCCAGTCTACATGTCTCTCAAACATGAGTACCATTTCAGGACAGACACCAAGTCATCCTAGTGTCTACATACCCAGAATCTAACACAATGCCTCCAACTTGCTATGTATGGCTATAGATTTATGTTTATTGAAATGAAGAAACAGGTGAAGTTCCAAGTTAATATAGTAAAGACAAAAAGAAAAAATTCCTGGACTTCCTTGATGGCACAGTGGATAAGAATTTGCCTGCTAATACAGGGAAGATGGGTTTGATCCCTGGTCTGGGAAGATTCCACATATGGAGGGGAAAGTAACCCCGTGTGCCACAACTAATGAAGCCCATGTGCCTAGAGCCTGTGCTCCCCAAGAAGAAAAGCCACTGCAATGAGTAGCCTCCGCTTACTGTAACTAAAGAAAGCCAGTGCAAAGCAACCAAGACCCAGAGCAGTCAAAAATTTTAAAAAAATAAATAATTTTAAAAAACCCTCCTGGGGCTTCCCTGATGGCTCAGTGGTAAAGATTTTTGCCTGCCAATGCAGGAGATGTGGGTTTGATCCCTGATCCAGGAAGATCCCACATGCCTCCAAGCAACTAAGCCTGTGTGCCCCACCTATTAAGCCTGTGCTTAGAGTCCGTGCTCCTTAATAAGAGAAATCACTGCAATGAGAAGCCCAAGCACCACAACTAGAGAAAAGCCCCTGCTCGCCACAACTAGAGAAAAGCCTGAGCAGCAACGAAGACCCAGCACAGCCAAACTTCAATAAATAAATAATTTTTAAATATTCCCTACTTCTCAGTTATCACAAATGATTGACAATGTCCATTAATGTCTGTGATGCAAAAACAACCACCACCACAGGGCCTGTATCAGTAGGATAAGCACTATGATATATTGTTTCTCTTATAAAGTCCAGTGTAAGACAAAATAATAAAATACCCAAGAGGGAAATAACTTACTGTAAAACCTTGGTAAAATAATTAAATAGTTCCTTGCACAGCACTTCACTGCTTTCAAAAAATTTTCACCTAAGAAAAAAAATTTTTTAATAAAAATTTAGTAAGATTTCATCAACATCTTCCACTTGCCTCCTCAGTAAATCTGAAAATAGAGTACGAATTCCTATTCTCCAGTATGAGAAAAATCAAAGTTTAGTCACTTGTTCAACTGGTAGAACCAGATTCTCAATCCTCATTTTCCAATTTCCAAGCTTAGCTCTCTTCCAAAATACCACACGGCCCCCAAATTTGTTTCCTTGCTCAGAGGTCTTAAAAGCTAGTTCAAAGCAGTAATTTTGTAGCCAACTACTCAAACTCATTTCTGAGTCTATTATTAATTTTAATAATTAATGCAGTTTGCAACTGTATCCCCTGTACCTTGAAACATGTACAGCATCTAATAAGAGCTTAACAAATATCTGTTAAGCAAATGGATGAATAACAGTTTAAGAGCTATGTTGGTGGAGAAAAGGGAATTACTCTTCCCCCTCCACCCTCATACACCATAACCAAGTTTGTGTCAAGAAATTAGTTTGGCAAACATCTATCTGACAGTTTATACCCATTAAAAGTAACATCAATGCTCAAAACGACCCCTAGTGAATCTAATTTAGATCTTGTCAAATCCCAATACATCATCTCTAGATTTTCCTCCAGGAGGCAGCAAATTATATTACAATGATACCCAACATGGAGATCTGTTAAGATGCAGATTCTCAGACAAACCCAGGGATGAGATTCAAGACAGCCCCTTGGGTGATTGAGCCAGCAAGTAGACTGTGGGCCATATCGGAAGAATCACTAGGTATGTTCTGAAGTCAAAAAGAACTCTAATCAGATCCCAGCCTCACTGTTCAACATCTGTATGGCATCAAGTGAAAAACTTCATTTCACTCAGCAGTAATTTCTCACCTGTAAAATGGAGATAACATTACCTAACTTAAAGTGTTTGTTTTAAAACGAAGCCAAGTAAAGTACCTAGCACAGTGCCTGGCACATAGCATTTGCTTAAAAAATGACAGCTACTAGTCTTCATCCTTTGAGATTACTGAAGAGAAAAAAAAAAAAGGACTTATTTCTCGCCAGCAGCTTTAGCTCTCCATTTCTCATTCACTCAACTTTTGAAGAGAAGAACTTCTGTTTAATCCACTATTTGCTATCACATTAGTTCTGGATTTCACATAAAGAGCCCTAGGAAAGAGGAAAAAAGGTTCTAGAATGACTGCCAGAAAAGAGTTTTAAGTCTTGAATGCTTCTAACTCATCGTGGCCCAACAATCTGCGCAAAGAAGGGGCCTAGTCTAATAGCCTATGAGTCTGGAAGAGCTGGGTACAAGTCCTAGCTCTGCAAATGACTTGCTGTGTGACTTTCAGCAAGGCTCTGTCCCTTTCTGTGTCCTTTCAGTGTCTCCGTCTCACCAGCGAAAGGATTTCAACTTCAGTCTATGAGTCTCAAAGAAGTAGAGGTCTGATTTGTACTTAACCTGGTGTGTAGTTTTTAAAACCAAGATAATCAAGTCCTCTCTCCTGCCCAAGGCTCAGTTTACCCATCTAAAGTGGTGAAGGTGGCCCTCATCTCCTCGGTCCTGCTCCCAGATATCTGGGTTCCAGGCGGCACGAGGACTTCGGCGGAAGAGCCGCACCTTTACCCACGAGCTGAGGGCTACCCAGCGCGTTCGATGGGGGTGAAGGACAAACAGACATCAAGCGCAGAAGCTGGGTCGGGTTCACTGGGTGGGGATGTGGGGCTTCGATGCTGGCCCTGCCTCCGCCCCTGCCGACAGAGGAAATAACCCCGAGGCACGCCCACCTCTCACGGCCCAGCCACGACTGCCGGCAGCGACAGTCGGCGAGGGTGTCCTCCCACAACAGGTGAGACACAGGCGAAGACGACTCCAAGAGGAGCCAGCTGACCGCGCGGAGGCCAGAACATCTCACTCTCCCCGGTCTCCAGTCCCTCCCTTCGCCTCACCTCTCGAGTCTCGGCCGCACCGTGCGACCCGGCTCCAAGGCACGTCCTCCGCTGTGGCGGGACCGAGGCGGTAGCGTAGCGCGAGCGGAGGCAGCCCACTCCCGGGCCGGCCTCTCTTTAACCCGCCAGTCACCTTGCCCGCCCACTGCCCAGCCCCAGGAGGAGGTGTGGTCCGGCTGGGCGGGACTGAGGCGAGCGGTGAGCCGGAACCCGCCGGGAGGTGCGGAAGACGACTATAGAGCGAAAATTCAGCTTGCGCAGTCACGTGGCACTGCGAGAGAGCGACGCGGCTATCAGCCAATGACGCGGCCAGAATCGGCAAGAGTGCCGCCCCCAAGCCGCTTTCCTCCTCGCGATTGGCTGTCCAGTACAGACGATGCCACGCGTTCCTGATTCTAAAAGAGATTTAGTGTGTTGAAATTGAGCAGATCAGGGGTCCTCCGACTTACGGTTGGGGTGATGCGAGGACTCACCCTCGGAAGAGACGTGGAAATGCTCTAAGGAGAGCTTAAACTGTTCTTCCTTTAAGAGGGGTATCGTTTTCATCTTCGACTTTTTGGCGCACCCTCCCCCCCCCTTTTACTGATAGAGAAAAAAAGTGCTAGGCGCTCAGTGTCGTATCCGACTCTTGGAGACCCCATGGACTATTGCCCGTCAGGCACTTCTGTCCGTGGGATTTCCCAGGCAAGAATAAGGGAATGGGTGGCCATTTCCTTCTTCAGGTGAGCTTCCCGACTCAGGGATTGAACCCAGGTCTCTCACATTGCTGGAAGATTCTTTACCGTCTGAGCCACCAAGGAAGCCCATTGATAGAAAAATAGAGGCCCTAAGTGAGAAAAGGTCTGCTACAAAGTAAGAGGGCCTCTTGCCGCAGTTTAACTTCCTCTCCACCGAAGGTACCAATACCCAAAGGTTCTTTTAAAGATGTAAATGAGTATATAAAAATAAACATGAAATGTAATTCCAGTCCTCGTTTAAAATCCTCTGCGGCTTTCCTTGACATTCATAGATAAAGTCAAATTTCTCCCTATGCCCCCAAAGTCCTGAATGTCCTGGGCCCCGGCCCCTTCCTTCTAACGTCGCAACTCTCCTTCCTTCAGCCGTCTCCACCCATCCTAGCCTCCTTTGACAAGCTTGTTCTCTTTCTCGACCTAGACACTGGTTCCAGTACCTGGTTTCTACTTATTTCTCCAGTGTCAACCTAAAGACCTGCCTGCCCTTTCCTTGGCGACTGTCCTGCTAGTCACTTTCTACATGTAGTCTTCATTTAATTATGTGCCACAAACCAGGCACTATCCGATATAGATTTTATGTTCATTTGTTCATTTTCCATTTTATATTGCCTGTAGGGGGGTTCACAGATGATGATTGCATAGAATGATAGGATAGATGGGAGTGAAAGAAAACCAGTGAAGGAAGCAAAATGGTTAACTTCCTTTTCTTCCCTTTTCAAGAACGCATTCAAGGAACTCCCTTTCTTATCCTGAGATGAGCCTCAGGTTTCTATCACCCACCAAATTCAGAACTTCCAGAGTCACAAGCCGTATCAGGATCAGAACACCTGGGTTCTGCTCCTGGTGCGATCTCTTAGCAATGAGGACAAATCACATAATCTCACCTTTCCAGGGGTAATTAATGGCCCCACACTCAAGAGTCCTGGAGAGGGTCAAGTAAGATAATGGGTATTAATGTGTTTTGTCTACTCCTTATAAGTTGTAAAACAAACAGAAGGCAACAGTTAACAATTTCTGGTTATTTATTTCTGGATGCACACAACTTCACATTTATTATCTTATTTAGGCCTCATAGAAGCTTTTGTGGAGAAGGGAATTGCAACCCACTCCAGTATTCTTACCTAGAGAATCCTGTGGATAGAGCAGCCTGGTGAGCTGTCTATGGGGTCTTACAGAGTTGGACACGACTGAAGCAATTTAGCAGCAGCAGCAGAAGCTTTTGAGGGGGTGTTATGTTATGATTCTCCCTTTTTAGGTGAAGAAATGAGACTCAGAGATGTTAGGTGACTTGTCCACAGTCCCACGGTTATTAATAAATGACAACAGCATGATTTCAACCCAATTACAGCTGCCTGAAAAGCCCACTCTTAACCACTACACTCACTGTGTTAGTCAAATGTAAGACTCTATCCCCATCCTTGTGTGTAATAGATACCACTAAAGACTGGTTTAATATAATAACGGCTATAATTTTCTCTCTTATTCCATACGTTCTCGTCAACTTTTGTTGTTTTTGAGTTGCTAAGTCCCGTCTCATGGACTGTAGGAGTCCTCCTCCTACAGGCTCCTCTGTCCACGGGATTTCTCAGGAAAGAATATTGGAGCAGGTTGCCATTTCCTTCTCCAGGGCATCTTCCCTATCCAGGAATAGAACCTGCATCTCCTACATTGGCAGGCAGATTCTTTACCACTGAGCCACCATGGAAGCCTCTCGTCCACTTTGCAGATGAAGAAATTGCAGCTTGGAATACTGTTACTTAACAGAGCCACTCAACTGACAAGTAGTGGATTCTGAGGTGAGACAGGGAGGGGTTTTCTTTGTTATAGCTGTCTGTCTCCCAAGCTTCTCATTGGTGCCTCTCACCCCCCTAATTCAGCATCCAGACTGCTATTTAATGTTGTGGTCCTGTCACCTACCCATATACAAATCCCCAGGGGCCTCATACAGCTAGGCTTTGGTCCACCGTTCCTTCCGTGCCTTCATCATGCTCCAGTTCTCTGCAGCAGGAATCTTAAGGTGTGAAATAACCAAATCCCTGCTAAAGGAGAGCTGGCTAAGTAATAATCAGCTTTTCCTCAGTAACAGCATGTCAGCAGCCCAGCCAGCCAGAACCCAGATCCCTTCACCCCTCCCATCAAGCCTAAGTGTTTTCCATCCTATTGGTCTCAGGGTGCACAGAGGTGACTGGCCCCCAGAGGGTTGCACATTATAGCCATTACTCTGTCCCAAACTATTTTCCAAAGAGTAACTAATGATGTGTTAACTGGGGATGTTATGGGCCAGCAAAGAAGTCATCTCAGGTTAGGGATTATTTCAGGATTCAATTCCTCAGCCCTTCCTGACTACCCACTCTTCCAGGAAGGATAGGTCACTTCCTCTGAGACCCCACTATTGAGTGACTGTTACTGATTTGCTATTTGGGATTAATTTCTGCTGATATAGCTATTTTGCTTTTTTCATTTTCTTTTTTTTTCTTTTTAATTTAACTTGATTGTTCTTAGGCAGAACTCACTGGTAGCTCAACTGGTAAAGAATCTGCATGCAATTCAGGAGGCTCCAGTTCAATTCTTGGGTCAGGAAGATCCCCTGGAGAAGGGATAGGCTACCCATTCCAGTATTCTTGCCTGGAGAATCCCATGAACAGAGGAGCCTGGTGGGCTCCAGTCCATGGGGTCGCAAAGAGTCGGAGACGACTGAACAACTAGCACTGATTATTCTTAGAAATAGGTAACATGTACAAGTAAACAAATTCAAAATATCAAAGAGTTTACAATGAAAAGTAGATCTCTCTCCTACACTATCCATTCTTACCCCAGCATCCTTTTCTGGAGACAAACACAGCACCACCTTCCTGTGCTGCCTTCCAAGTTAGTCTATACCAGAAGTTTTCTACTCTGGCTACACATCAGAATCTCTTGGGAAACTTTTAGAAAATAAAAATACTTTGGTCTCATCCTCCGATATTATGATTGAGTTGGGAAAGAGTGGGCTCAGGCATTGAGGCTTTTTAAAAGCCCACCAGAAGATTCTAATGTACACCTAGGGTTGACAAGCCAGTGATCTATGCATGTACAAGAGTCCCCCAATCAACCAATCAATTAGTCACTCTCATATATACTTAAAAAAAAAAACACAAAATGGGCTGGGACTTCCCTGGTGGTCCAGTGGTTAGGAATCCATCTTGCAATGCAGAGGACAGACATGGGTTCAATCCCTGGTCAGGGAACTAAGATCCCATATGCCTTGGAGCAACTAAATCCACCTGCTGCAATACTGAGCCTGCACACTCTGGAGCTTGTGTGCCACAACTGGAAGTTGCACTGCAGTGAAAGATCCCGCATGACAATGAAGATCCTGCATGCTGCCGCTAAGACCTGACACAGCCAAATAAATAAATAAATAATTTTTTTAAAAAAAGAAATGGACATACAATATATTATTATTCTATACTCTTAGAAATTAATAATACTAAACTTTGAAGATTGTTCCATCTCAGTGCATAAAGAGCTCCTTTATGACTATCTATTGCTAAGTAACAAATCACTCCAAAACTTAGTGGCTTAAAATACCAATAGTCATTTTGTTATTTCTCATGGTTTCTGTGGGTCAGAGGTTTGCTGAGAGTTTCTATGGGTGGTTCTGGCTTGGGTCTGTCATAGAGTGATATAGTCAGATAGTGGCTAGAGTGGAGACAGAGAATGAAGAACCTGAAGGCTGAACATCTCTCTTCATGCACTCAGGGCCTCACCCTGTGTCTCTCTGTATGGGCTAGTTTAGGCTTCCTCACATCATGGCAGTTTCAGGGCAGTCTGTGCTTAAATGACCTCTGAAGACTTCAAGGGTTCCAGTAATAGGAGGATGCTGTATAGCCTTTTAGGATCTAGCCTCAAAAGTCACATAGTTGCAAGTCTCAATAAGAGACGTATCAAAGTCACATTGTAAGAAGGACATGTGGGGTGGGGAAGGAATATTGCTGTGGCTATCTTTGGCCATAGCAGCTGCATGGTATCCCACTCTTCAGGGGGACCATCATTCATGTAAGCATTGATGGACATTTATATTATTTCCATTCTTTTTAACTAATTAACTAACTTGACCATGCTGGGTCTTAGTTCTGGCATGCAGGCTCTTAGTTGTAGGATCTAGTTCCCTGACCAGGGACTGAACCTGGGCCCCCTTCATTGGTAACAAGGAGTCTTAGCCACAGACCACCAGGGAAGTCCTCTCCACTTTTCCTCATCTCCCTCTCCCCCAGTTCTTAGAGGGAGCTTGGCCCTTCTTGATCACTTGCCTCTCAAGGATGCTGTGTGGCAGGATAGGAAGTAACTATTCTCAGACTCAAGGAGAGAT